AATAGGAGCTAATAGAAATACACGTGAAGTTTCTAAAATAATGCAAGAAGATTGGATTCATGCAATCAATCGGGAGGACTGGTCTGACATGCTGACGAAATATGATCTTGTGTGTTGTAAACATTTTCAATCTATTAGTAGTATTAGCTTTTATTGCAGAAGTGGCAGAAGGAATGACAACATTTCATAATGAAAACTATGTGAGATTACTATATACCTGAAAAATCATATTCCTTCGTCTCTTGCTGCATTTTTTGTGCATTGTACAACAGCACAATGCGAAGGCATGCTTGAATTGATGAATAGTGCAAAAAACACGATTCGTAAGCCAAAATATTGTGAAAAACTATTTCAATCCTTTGATTCCTATGTGAACAAATAAAAAAAGTGAGGTTGTGTTTCAATAATTCACAGAAGAGTGAGGTTGCGTTTCAATATTTTACCCTCGATTTTACCTCAAGGGTCGGTCATCGTGCACGCGACCTATAAAAAACAAGAGTTTCATCTAAAAACTTTAGATAACCTTGAAATTCCCTGGAATTCCTTGGGTGAAGTGCGGCCTATTCCTCTGGTCTACAAACACAAACAACTGGAATTCTTTGGAGTTTCTTAGAATTCCTTGGAATTCCTTATTTCCTTGGATATCCTTGGATTTCCTTGGAGTTCTTTGGATGAAGTGCGGTATAATTCTGGTGTACAAACAACTGGGATTCCTTGGATTTCCTTGAATTTCCTTGGATTTCCTTGAAATTCCTTGGATTTCCTTGGAATTTCTTGAAATTCCTTTAAGTTTCTTGGAATTCCTTGTGTGAACTGCGGTATAAATCTGGTATACAAACAACTGGAATTCCTTGTGAACTCGAAGTGTGGTGTACACAATATTTTGATCGCGGTTTGCCCCTCGATAAGCGCGTATGACCTACATTGCCTATATTACAACACTTGATTTAGTCAAGTCGATTCAATTATAAATACAGCTCCTAGGATAAAAAATACCTCAAAATCTGCACAAAGTAGTTCTGTTTTACGGTAGCTACTTAGCTATCCGCATTTTTTCCCATATCTTTCTCCTTAAACTGTGGTTAAGGGGGCAGATGGGCGAATTGTGAATTTAAAATCCACTGCACTCTTATAGTGCGAATCTCAGACTTCGTTTCAGGTTATAGATGGATAAAATAATAGATTTATCAAAAATGTTCATGAAAATACTGATCTCATTACTATTTACCAAGACAATTCCACACCTAACATTTTCGACCAATTGAAAGACTGTATTTTGTATCGTTACCATATAGCAACAAAACAAATTTCCGGAAATTTTTTCCTTCCTTCTTGGGGAAAAGAGCATGAAATTAAACTGGCCATTTCTTGACGTTTATTGGTAAAATGACATTGACATCTAACTTCAGATTACCTCGAATTCAATCTACCTATAGGTTGATGAGTTTCTTGTTAGAACTGGTGATTCTACCAACTTTAGCTAAATGTATTTGTAAAAAACTGAGAGACTGAGCTACTATATAGCACTTTTTTTTGCATTATTTCATATAACTAAAGTCGTTTAATCACGGCGAATAACTTCGAAAAAACAAAGAAAATATCTCGGAAAATATGGAATAGTTTGTTACGATACTTCCTCGGATTCCAAAGTCCGGTCCTGGACCTCCCGACATACCCGAGATATTTATCGTGCATGTTATAGCCCCTAAAAGTCACCCCGAAAAACGCACCAGACGGGCATTATGAAATGTGTACAAACGAATAAGCAGGCCATATAAACTAATAAAAATGAAGAGACAGAAACGGAGGAGATAAAATATGCGTTTTCGCTATACACGAACGAGTGTCATATTAGGAGGAAAGGGGTAAGTGGAAGAGAGGGGTGTTTTGGTTGGCTGTGGCTATCCGTTATCCCGAGTTCGACAGAAAACACGATGAGGCGTTATAATGAATGGAGTAGATGGTGCAATAATGGCTGATTGGCTGCAATTACGTACCGGCATAAACTTTTAATGGGACTTATTGGTATTACGGTATTGTATAAGAAAGGCATTAAATTCATAGGTACATACCTATGCCACGAGATTTTCCGATACCATAGCCAATATTCTATGGTCTAGGTGTAACCTACAGGGTGTTTCCCAAGAAATAACGAGGTCTTCAACAATGACTGAGTGCCACGTGACCAATTTTTGATGCGGCGTCTCTTTTCCACCCACAATAAAGAGATACGAATGTATTCTTGGTTGCATAGTAATCTGTCACGTGGTTTTCAATCATTGTTGATACCTACCGAGTTTTATAGGTACTCATATAAATGAATTGAATTAGGTAACATGGAAATGTTTTGTAACTTAAAGTGCAATAAAGGCTCGAATAATAACAAGTGTGGAAAATACCTACTGTTTAGAATAAGAAATCAATGAGACACATTTATCGAAACAATACCTACCAAGATTTTCATACTTACCTCGATATTCACCGACAATGACAACAACGAAGTGATTCTTCCCGGACCAGGCAAGAAAAATGCTACTATCTCAAAGAGAAAGCGTCCAGGATTATAATTTCATGATCTAATGACTCAGAAAAATCAATTTTGAGTACGTACAAATATTGTCGTAGGTGTCAGAGTCAGATAGTGTTTACTTTAAAAATCGGCATAGGTATAGGATTTCCAATGCTTGCACTTGTACACCATAATTCCCATATTATTATCAAATTCCCATGCACTTATTTATAGGTGTTTTACGAAAATCATGCACACTGGAGCTCATTATAGCGACATTATAGGTACCTACTGAGATTCAATAATTATTTTTGTCAGTGTAGGAAGCTCTCTACCTTGAACCGTTGGCCTATCCGTACTTTGCCATTATATCATCTGTTGCAGTTTTGGTGGTTGCATAATTCGCTGGGGACACGTGCGGTCCTCCAAACTAATAATAGGAAAGAACTAGGTAGGTATTTAGTTCACTATACCTACCTACACACTCCATTTCTTATTACGATGCCGTTGATTTGAAGAATCCACTAAATCTAGAGAAAAAAGCGTTACAAAAAGGTTATATTTGATTGTAGGTAGGGTCGATGCACTGGTTAATCGACCGGCACTGATTCTCGACCGTTTTGGCATTTCAGACAAAATAATAAGAGAAATATTTTTCATACCATTAAAATTACTATATAGTAAATGTGTTTTCGGCAACTTCACTCAATTATAAATAGCTGGCAGAGTGAGAAAAAAAAGCCGAGCTTTTCGCACAGAAAATCATTTGGTAACCGTCTGTCATTGGCAGTACTAGATGATACCAGGCAAGAAAAAAGTGAATAACTTTCAATATGCATCAGGTGCATGAATTTTGTTTTATATTAATTAGGTATTAGACCTAGTTTTTTCTGAATTTCAGGAGGTATTTCCAGAAAAAACAGACATAAATAATTTTTGTTTGTTAAATATTCGGTGGTCGCAAACCAGTTTTACAAAAATTGGCTCTTTTATTTCTCGACCAAACCAAAGTGGTCCAGACCTCGTCAAGAACCAAAACATATCTTGAATAATTGTTTATGTCTAGTCAGTCTAGTCGAGTGTCTAGTCTCATGTCTAGTTAGGTATATACATTCTTTGGAACTTATTCATTTTTTTTCTTAATACTGATATATTTACATAAAATATTATCTACTTGCTACATATTAGTTTGCGACTGAAGGACTGAAAAATATTTCTTCTGCAATTCATTTATTGATGGTCGAAAACCAATTTGACCATATTCAGACCTCGATTCAGACCATTGTGGTCAAGAACCCCTTTCAACTAAATTTTGACTTGATCATATCATTTCTGATTATCTCTCTTATGTCAAAGTATAAAATGATTTTTACATTGAAATGTGTACCATATTTCACCATGAAGTACCAAGTGCAGCCGCACAAATTCACAAATTTGATTTACATGTTGAATTGAATTGTTCATAACTCTTTTAGTAATCGAAAACAATGACAGGGGCAATGACAATTATAATCGAGATTATAATCTTATGTTCGAAAATAAGTATTTTTTTGTTCTTTATTTTTAAGGAGTCTGCCTGAGTAAAAAATGATTTTTGCATTATAATATTTACATGTCGAATGTTTCTCAATCATTTTATGAATCAAACTGATGGTGGTCGAGAATTCTGCGGGGTGATCAAGAACCAGCGATCATTATTTCAGAAGTTGAATGCAAAAAACGCTCGAAAAATATTCACAAATTACTTTCAAGTTATCAAGGAATCTGTGAGACAATGTTATAAGCTTTTCGTGAAGCTTTTACACGAATTTACCACTCTTAAAAGTACCTCGAAAAGTACAGAAAAACCACGGATTTTCGCAGGAATTTTTCAGAGTACGAGAGAGAATCTTTCTCGGAATCTTTATTGAGAACCAAAGTGAAGAGCCCCTTCTAGACTAATCTCAAAATAAATAATTTAATGAAGGGATTGAATTACCTTGTGTACTTGTTGAACTGAGTATGAATTCCTTGTGATCATAGATAAAGGGGACTCTTCAATCTATAGGTATGAGTCTAGGTATTTTGCGCCCGAGCTAATGGATATCAATTATGAACATCATGTAAAACATTATTGAGGCATCTCCCCCTCGATCTCCCCAAACAATTTAAGTAAAAGTTAGCATTTGGGAGTTGGTTTAGGGTGACTATCTGCCAGTGGAAACAACCCTCTTGAATCTATTAGAACAGATACGCAAAGGGTCGGTCTACCCATTTCATTGAAAATGTAGGTAGGTAGGTACCTAGCAGGAGGTAGATAGGTAGGTACACTCGTCTTCAGCGAACATGTCGCGGTTGGACGGGTGATATGAGCGCTCTTATTGCAGCAGTGATCAAGGGAGCTGACACCTCGGACACCATCCATGTGCGACATGATCTCTGAAGACAAGTGTACACATAAATGTACCTATTTAGGTACCTTGGTGTGAAGTAGGATACAAAGATTGCTTACCTTCTGATAATGACTTCCTGATATGAGTTTCCAGTTCTTCTTGGGTATACTCAATTCGCTTTTCACTGGAAGTAGTGCATACTTTAGTTCTTTTCAAAGCCCTCCCCATATTCATGCCATCTGTATCAGACGAGTCACCTTCGAAAAATCCGCTTTCTTTGGTTTTCTTGTGGCAACGCATTTTCGAAAAAATTATACCTTCACCCACACACTTCTTTCTACTCGCACAAAATAGTCATAATTTAGTTTATGGCAGTGATGTTATATGCATTGATCAATATTATAGTTATTAACTTTTGAAAAGAAAACTGACATGAGGTTATTTCCTCGAGTTCACGACGTAAGTACTTATATTTATAACAGTTCACAAAAGTAGGTCGTTGAATAACAGTTAATAATGTCACAGGATCCTGCTTCAGTCACTTCACAATCTAGATTTGAAATATATCAATTCAAAATTCAATATTCCTGTTATTTCCACACACAAGACCGTTTCCCAAACTCCAATTTGATTTGAGAACTATAAGTTAGGTTATGTCCAAATAGGTACTTTCAAGAATATCCAAGTTTCTCAAGCACACTCACAAAGTTTATCACATTCCGATAACATTTGCACACTTTGTAAACGCGGAACAGTTCATTAAACAGTCCATTCAACAACTTAGAAAAAATTAAAGAAATTTGTTCTAAACGACCGACCAACGCGCCTGCCTTGTAACTCTGTAACTGTGTTCATAAAATCAAGTTAGGTGTCCATGTTCTTCCATTCCCCCCACTCCATTCGTACTTCGTTCGAAGTGGGTTGCCATTTCTCCAGCTTTTCATGATTATTTCACATCAAGTTGTCAAAATAATAATGAATAATTGGCTTCAAATGATCGTTCGAGAATCGAGATTGTTTACAATGAATGCAAGAGACGAAAACCCATATCCTTATTTTTGTCAATAACTGATACCTACCATGAAAATACCAATGACTGAATATGAATAAAAATGAGTCCTACCTACCTACTGAATGGTGTTATTGGTGTTTGCAGTTTGAACTGATGCGCTTTTGTTTTGCCCAAACTTGACGACAATTAGTTCAAATCGCAATATAAGGTTCTCGTTGAATCTTATTCTGGTAGATGTCACTGTCTAAAACGCACTTTTGTCAAATTACATCTAGTTTGTTTCGCTGCTCATGTTTGAACAGCGTACAAAAATTTGTTTTTTTATGTAAACTTTGAGGTCTTCTCATGGACAAACGGTATATTTTGTTATGTAAATAAATTGGGTCCAATCAACTTATTTTGACCTGTATTACAGGTGATAGCTCTGTGTCCCAGCAATTTTGGGACACCTGTAAAAATATCGATATCGAATTTTGAATCACCCTGCATATATCCATTCCAATAGAATATTAATAGACGCATATAAAAAACTGGCTTTTAAGAGATGAAGTGTTGCACAAAAATTAGTCATTGAAACTATACCCCTCGATAAACCATCCCTTAGTACAAACCACTAACTTTGTTTTTTAAAGTACACCCCCATATTATTATGCCATGTTTCAGAAGCTTATATTAGCTTGATGATGTATTATACACTCTCCATGAATACACCCGCGAGATATTGCCAAATCAACAACTTACAAAAGCATATCATATTATAGGAATTTCGTCTACCATCACTAGGAATCTAAAGGCAGAATCAGACGACTGATGTAAAATTAGTTATCAAAACAATCCCTCGATAAACCACCCCTTTGCCCTCTCGTGAGCTTACGAATTATGTGTTGTCTGCTTATTGTAGCTCAGCGATATTGTTAGGCTTCGTACAGGGCCTACTCTTCTTGTAGTTCTTGTTATTTAAAATTATCCCACTACAAAAAATCTTAGGGGGATGAATCTGGGGATCGTGCTGGCCATCGTATAGGACCAAATTTCCAATCCAGTTTTCCCCAAACTGGTTATTCAGATGTCTAGTACATCAGTCGTCTGATTCCGTTTTTAGATTTTTGGTAATGGTGGACAAAATCTATTATTAAGTTGATGATTTGATTATCCAGGACGTATTTATGGAAAATGTAATACATCATTTGTGTTCGTAATAAAAGCTAATGATCTACTCAAACATGCCATAATAATATGGGGGTGTAATTTCAAGAAAAAAAATTAGAGGTATGTGCTAAGGGGCGGTTTATCGAGGGGTAGTTTTAATTACTAATCTTTGTGCAGCACTCTTTCTCATTAAAGCCAGTTTTTTCAGAACGTTGATAATGTAACCCTTCTTGGAAAAATAGAGTTGAGACACCCGGTACCATGAACACTAGATAACTCCTGTGATACCTTCCTTTATTCACTTTTCGTCATCTAAGTATAGATTGTTGATTACCTATATTTTATTCACCGTCATTAATGTGCTACCCCGATCGCGAATATTGAATTTTGTATGACGTATGACAAGAAGAAACAAAGACCGTTCAAAACATGCTATTCAATTTAATTTACATAATCTTTGTGAATTATGCAGTCATGAAGAAGTCATTACCTCATTAACTCCCAACACGCACGCGCCTAAATACCTGAATGTCCTGAATACCTACCCCAGAATGCCTTCATCTGATAAGATATTTCAAACCGATATACATGGATAATATACCGATAACATGGATAAAAGATTAATGCTCCAGACAAAGAATAACATTCAAAGTTAATTCTACGGTATGCAACACAAAATACATCGCAGGCAGCGCTTCACTGCGGTAGCCCATCGAAACGCAATACAAGCCAACTAGAGACAGGACTCAGAGAGACAGCGCGCAAAAAATAATTCGTGCGAAAGCGAGTTTACAGAAAATGTCCTGAAAAATAGAAAAAAAGCATCATTGAAATAGCGAATCACTATCAGCCCCAACAGTAAGTAAATGCCTTCACCAGTGGCGGCTCCTCAGAGGAGGCAACGGAGGCTGAGCCTCCTCAGAGATTCTCCTTAAACTGATATTATCTATACTTTCTCATTAAAAGGACACCAAAATACATGGATTTTGATTTTATTTCCTGTCTTTAGGTAAATATTTTTGAATTGGCAACAGTGCTTGCCCACGCATCACACGTTGAAGTCTGCAAATCACGCGTAAAATATTCAACTTGGCAACATCTATAGGAGGCAAGACTCCTTCACAAATCGAAACCCACGCGTGCAATGCATATGCCCGAATACGCCCGAATAGCGAATAGCGAATTGCGGACAATTCAGTGAGAGTGCATTGTTTATGTTTATGTTAGGTTAATGGTTAGGGGCTCTATAAATTTCTGAAAAATGAGTGTTTCATGTTGGGGGCGATTAGGATATAATGATTTGAAAAATTTGCCTCGCGGATTGGATACTTGGATAGACACTGCAAATCACAGGAACAGTTCAGGTTAACTGGTAAACAGAATGTCATTGAAGCTATTGATTTGGGTGAGTCGTAGAGAGTTGTTTTTCACAATAAATCTCATATCATTCAGCCTCCTCTGTCATGAAAGTCACGAGCCGCCACTGGCCTTCACAGTATTTTCTTCGATTAATCACTTAAAAAAAGAGGCAATCCTCACCGACCTCACCACAAGGATTATTTGTTGAGAGATTTGTTGTACCAATGTCCCGTAAGGTGTATCCTTTTTTTGTTTTTTTTTTCGAATTGATGTGGAGGCATCTACTGTTGAGGCTAATAATGAGCCGCTATATCAATGATGATTTGTTTCAGGATCGGCCGTGAGCGACGCTGGATTATTTGTTGCAGGATGCTTCTTCTTTAGTTCGCTATTTCGCTACTAGATGGCAAAGCCACTCAATTATTTTGAATGAAAAAAAAAACAGTATTGACAAATAGAAATGGACATCAATAGGTAGGTACAAAACATTTCCGCAATTGCAAATCGTTTGGCTAATATTATACCAATGATATTCTGTAGAATATGTATATGTATTATAGACAACCGAGTGCACCATTCAAGTACACGACCGACCGGATGATAGCATTAGCGTCATAGGCGTCGAAACTAAAAATTCCAGAGGGAGACAAAGATACTTATGATTTCAAGATATACATAAAACACGTATTGCACCATTTCTTGATTTGTGGTGTGAAATTTTCCTAATAACCCTGGAAAAACAATATTATAGATTCTATTTTTTTCAAAAAACAGCGGAATTGAAAATGTAACAAAAACGATAAAGAATTCCCAACAAAACTTTCGAACTATTATCAGGCATCATGAGTGTTTCAGCCGTTTCAAGAAAATTACTCTAACTCTTACTCTAAATTCAATTCTATATATTTGATGATAATACAATCGTAAGCGAAATAGCATTTACATCAGTAGTAATCTGATCACATATATCGATCAACTTTGATCAATATATGGATTGTGGAGTGTTATGATTATGAAAAGGGTTATTGTTCATTAACATTAACATTATAATACATAGATATGATATGGACCATCACTTTTCAAGTAATGTTGTATCAGTATTATTATACAACCACTCGGTCCAATATGTGTACACTAAGCGTCCAATCCTGATGCAATATGTCCAATACCGTTCCAATGCGACTAATCTCAAACCTCGTCTTAAACAAATATGAGCAATCCTAGTCTAATACGACCAATCTCGGTCATTTTGGAGAATCCTAGTCAAATAACTCCAATCTTTGTCCATTCTGTCCAATCTTGGTCCAGTCCGTCAATTCTGGGTCCAATTCATCCATTCCAAACTGTTGCCAATAAATGATATTCCAATTTTGCGCTAATAACTCGGCTAAGAAGCACTATCCTTTCACCACCATACTTGAGGGGCTGAGTTTCCAAAATCGTCTTATCGCCATTGTTGGGATTTTTGAGATAAAATAACCAAATTGCAGTGTTGGCAGCCCTACACATCATTCAGTATGATTTGCGTGGCATAACTCATCCTATCGCTTATTATTGATATTATGAAGGAGAAAGATTTGTTCGTTTGTTTGTTTTGAATAGGCTCCAAAACTACTGAACCGATTTGGAAAATTCTTCAATTGTCAGAAGCCGACATTATCCCTTATGAATATAGGCTACTTTTTTGCTTCATTCCTTCGGGAAAACGGGTAATAGGATAACGGGTAGGTGGTAAGAAAATACAATTTGGACGCGGTAGAAGGCGCTGCTGTCAGTACATCAACTACTAAACGACTTGGCCGATTGGGTTGATATTTTGTATGTGTATTTCCATGGTTTCACAAGCTGAGAGAATTAAAATTGGTGTAAGTATAGAATAGTAGCTATAAGTATAAGCACAAAAATCAAGAAGAAAAACAAAGAATATGTATTGCAACAAATTACTTTTTTTTTTTAATGGGTAGGTACACCAACCGTGCGAAGCCAGGCCAGACAGCTGGTGATTCATAACTGATAAAATCGTACATTATAGTTCCAAAACTGATCATATCTACACGTATATATTAGTATAGCAAACATTCATTTCATATTTTGGTACCATACCAGCTATTAGAGGTTGCTGGAACCTCATCAAGTAAAGTACGTTATTATTTGGAAATTGACAACGGAAGAAATTCTGGGTATTCCATCAGAGTTATTAGGTGCTATGCACTGATGTCTGTATGATTCAACCAACTCCAATTTGTTTACAATACACTATACTAATAAGACATATTTGTTTCAATCAATATTATATGTTCGATAAAACATTCACGTTCAAAATTGACCAACTTGTTTTTGCGAAAAAGTGGTAGACATGGATTACATTTAATTTTCAAAACTCTCTTAATTCAGTGTTTTTCGTTCCATAACTGATTTCATCCATTAATTTGCAACGAAATTTTTCTTATCCAATTTTATCTATTTGATAAAAAATATAATAATACGTGAATTTATTTTTGCTCGTGTATAATAATTCATTGATACCTTCGTTACCTAAATGCAAAACATTGATAATTAATATCTGCTAATTGGGTTGCTGTTCGTTATTCGCGTTTATTCAAAATTAACGAATTTGAATAAAATAACTAGTTTTGGAACTCAGCCCCTCACTTATTGTTAGCCCAGTGAAGACTGATCGACAGTCTGACAGACGTATTTTAGTGCATTTCCAATGAAAATTATAAGTGGTCTATTCTATTCCATTTGAAGTAATGTAGAGAAAATAACAAAATAACAAAACAAAAAAAAACAAAAACAAATGAGAGCTAAACTTTTCACGGTTAGATCCGAGGTCAATCTGCCAAATAAGTGTTCGTGCATTCTGTTTCTGTTGCTTGTTATATACTGATGGGATTTCTGGAATATTTCGGAAATGGGCAAAACTCGATAACACTTTTCTTTAGTTATCTGAAATGAATTACCTACTTCTGTGAATTTGAAGTTACCATTGAATCACAACTGTATACTGATGTATTTACGAGGGTATTTATTACCGGTATTACCTCTGCCTTGTTTCATTTTGCGTCGTTTCTGGAGAGGAATTCTCCTCAGAGTTTCTCGGTTGAACTGGAAATCACTCGGGAAATAATTACCCCACTGTGTAGATACATATAAAAAAAGGAATATATTCCTATTCATATCGATGAGAAAGCCACCTCCAGAAATGATCTACCCACATCAAACGGGTAAGAGAAACAGTAAAAAAAATATTAGCATACCTACCTAATTATTCCCACTTTTACTTTTTCATTTTGAGAGAGAACATTCCGAAAAATAAATCTAAAACTCACCGTAAGTAATATCGTGTGTCACAGTCTCAACCAAGGATACGATCACAGTCTGGGTCATGAAACGAATAGAAGGTGAGGTGACCGGGGATTTTGATAAAGGTACGGGAGTCTTGGTGAAATTCTCACAATCGGCATTTTGTGCAGCTAATTCCTCCATGGCTCAGATAAACCACCACCTGTTTTCAAAAACAAACACCTACGCACTTGACAATCTTGCCATTCACGACAGCTATTTTTAAAATTCACTCGCGCCTCTAGGTCGGTCCAGGTTTTTCACTTAGGCTTTATTGATTTTTGAATCATTTATATTCAACGTACTCGTAGGGCTTTCAATTAGTGTTTACCACAAACATTTTAACATTTATTGTTATTGTTGTTGAGTTATTATGAAATCAAGAGCCAATATGATTTGAGAAGTCTATTCAATCTGTGTACCAAAGTAGGCTAGTGCGCGGCGCTCCCTACTTCATTCGTCGTCACTTTGCCTTTCTTGGCATCGAGAAATGAACAAAAGTAAATAATAGCTTGGTAGGCCAGATAATGATTATCTTGATTGACGATACTGAGTCCAAGTCGTTATTTTATAGACTAATATTATGTTATTATGCAACAACTAGAGCCGATAGTTCATGAGCAATAGGTAAAAGTATCTTCAACTAAACGAATTTTTAAGTGCATTGTGATTGTGCCGCTAATTCATTCCACTATAGGTAGGTATATGGTATATATATATAGTTTATTGAATGTTGTGAGTTGTGACTATCTTTAAATAAATATACAATGCTCAAAGTCATTTCCTCAAAAGTTCATAACTGAATAGGTATTCGAATATTATGAGAATATACACTGAGGAAAATTGTGCTGTTTTTTCTGAGATATTTCTTGCTACCATTACAAGAAATCATACTACCGCTATACATTTTCGAAATCGAACCTTGAAATCCTATGATAGCAATAAAGATTTTGCTGAAAGTGAAGTGGCTTGTGGCTGCGAGGTATCAATAATACAACTGTCAGTCTGCCACAAAAATAATATTTGACGAACCTACTTGGGGTTATTTAGCGCCTACTTATCGTTATTCGATATTTTGCTGATTTGTCCTACTCTATATGAGCATTTGTCAGACATCTTGCTTGATCAATCATTCACAGTTGGGCTCTTGATGACAATGCAAACCCATGTACAGGACAACATTCTCGACGACACGACAGTTACGAATACTTATCCCCTCTTGAATTCAATATGTTATTTAAAATCCGAATCTGAATTCAAATATAAAATGGAAAATTTTTTGAACGTATAAAAAAATCTTCTGTGTCCCTTTCAGTGCTTTATTCGTAGATCTGAGTGCGCTTCAGTTATTACCAGGAATGATAGAATGATGAAGGTGAGTTTTTTCGAGGTATTTCGACTGAAATTTAAATATTTTACATTCAACATTTCCTCCTTTTTGGTACCATAAAACTTTGAAATTATCAAATATGTTCCAGAGCTTCTCTATATAGAAAGTGGTCTAAAAACTTATTGTTAGCAATGAGGTTATGACATATTATTTGAATTATTTTACTGGTAACATTTTGTTTTCCTGTACGCATCTGTAATAACTTGCCTAGTTATCGAAATACAATGGTTTCAGAAAGTTTCAGAAAAATTCTTTTTGTCATCAATTACTCAAAAACCTTCTGTTTTTCCTGATGAGAGTGCATGAATCAATTGATCTATTAAATTTCAAAGATCATTGGTCCGAAAGTTTCTTCAGGAATCAATAAATTGCTATTCATACAAAACATCAGGGTGGAAATTATGGGAAGTGAAATTGGATATCAGTCAAAATTTCACCTTTCTTGATGACAACAATCCTGGTAAATAACTGAAAAACTACAGTGAGAAGGTCATGCTAATATCTATATGATCACCCAACAAGAGTAACAAAGTACCTTACTTACGATTATAACATTGCCCTACTCCCATTATTGGATGCACTCACTAGCGGTAGCAAAGTCAGATACCTACTATAGAAACATCGCCTAATAGCAATATACAGATGCACTCGCTAGTGGCAGCAAGGTTCTATATCTAATAATCTCAGGTGGGTTAGGTATAATCAGCAAAGTCAACTTTATAATCACAGGTGATAGCTTGCTTGTCCCCTATGCTATTAGAGTTCCTTGCTGGGGTAATTCGATTTCAGACTATGGTTGATAGAAATTTTCCTCAGTGTACCAAATTGTATCAAAATATGATATTGATATGCTATTAATATATCTTGTATCGAGGTCCCAGAGGGCTGTCTCTGCGTATATTATATAGGATCTCTAGCCCCAATGTTAATTATCCTACTAAAATGAAGTTTGACATCTTGTTATCCATATCATTTATAGATATAAGGTTCGTAGCGGAGTTGAAAAGGTGTCAGGCTTGTACACAGTTAATCACAATAGAGTATAGGTTCGCATCCCCACCATAGCAAGCTTTTTTCAATGTTCTTCATCCTCCTATAAATTTACTAACTAGGAATATTCTCGGAATATTTTCAGAATATTTTGAACAGACCGAATTCCGAATGTTCCGAACGTCCCCCGTGAATATTCAAAGATTAAAAAATAAACAATAGATGAGTGAAATTTCAGCTGGAATCTCTAATTTACATTCAATGTATCTTGCCAACTTGCTATAGTGAATGTTTTCGCGATTCATGAGCTAAAAATAAAGATAATCAGCTTTGTGTTCGCAAATTCGCAACCACAGTACCCACAATCCACAAGTTTATTATCTTTTCAAATTCACAAAATTTATATGAATGTTGCCATAGAAATAGGGAACAGAGAGGTATCAGATAGCACAAGTACAATAGTACCTAGGTATACTTTTATATACCTAGATATAGAGGTACTTATCACCTCTATTACTGGCTCAGTGATAGGATAGCGAATAGCAATAGTTTTTTTTTTTGAGTTCTGGTTCCCACGAAAAGGGATATCCTGTAATGATCAGGAGAACATCGGGAGAACCAAGGGAAATAAGGTAGGAATTGGTGTTCTTCTTAAATTTCTGGAGGTTATATGCCTCGGGGAACACATCCCTTGGCAATGTGTTCCAGAGCCTCGCTGTTCGTTGGATGAACGAGTCTTTGGAATGAGATGTTCTGCAGGTCTCCAAAGTGACCACGAAGGGGTGCGAAGCCTCAACTCGACGGGTTAATCTCGCGGGGACTGCCAAGGGAAGAAAAATTGTTGATATTTCAGAAGAGCATGGTCCATGAAAATATCTATAAAATAGAGTCAGATCGCCAACTTTTCAACGGTGTTCCAGAGAAATGAGTGAGTTTGTGAGCGAGGCATCACCCACGAGTCGAATTGCTCTTTTTGGGACAGAATATCAGGGTATGTTTGGCTGCTGCACTCCAAATATGGGAACAGTATTCCAGGACAGGTCGGATCTGTGCCTCATAGATCATAAGCAGCTGACTGGAAGTGAAATAGCTACGGGCCCGAAACAGAAAACCAAGTTTTTGGGATGCACTTTAAGCAATTGATCTCAGGTACAAATATGAGGCCAAAGATAACTAGGTCTCTTCAAAAGTGTAGTCAGTTAGAGAAATAGTCGAAAAAATTGTTCTATATATCATATGATATTAAAGCAATTACCCTCTGGGTATGTTAAGGTACAGGAAAAAGAATCTGAACATTGAATCTCACTGTGTATAATTAAACTAAAATAAACAACTAAATAAACAATACAAAATGATTTGTTGAAAAATTAGTTGAGTTTATATTAATTCCATCATAAGCCACAATAATTGAATCAATCGATAATTTTGACGCACATATCTGAAAGCTGTAAAGTCTATCCAAAGTCAATTGCAGCATCTCCCGCACCGCGTGGCGTCGGCTGGTTTGAAAGTTCCTTTGAAGTTAGTGCAGGTGCGGCACGCGAGACCCTTCAACCCACTAAGCAAAGTTGAGAGCTATATGTTGATGCAATGTTGAAGCAATTTTTGTTTGATAATGTAGGGTTGTAGCAATATTAAATGTTGCTGTGACATTGCTGGAACGTTACATTTACAATTTCACATTTGCTATATTGCTGAACGTCCGTTTAAGGAATTGCTACAACCTTGCATCAACATAGCTTCTAAATATGCTTAGTGGGAATCGATTTTGGATAAAGTTTACCTAGCTATAATCAATGAAACACATTACAAATTTCCCTACACTAGAATTCCACCAATATTTCCTTTAAGGATTTCCGATATAAGTCTGGAACCAAACAATCGTCAGCAGGGTATCCCACAGGTAGAAGAAGCGCTAATTTTTCGTTAGTGGGCCTTTCCAATAAGGTTCTTAGAGCTGGACCACAGTTCAGAGGGGTTGAAGTTAGAGACACCAAACCTGCATACTGAAATCAAAGAACATTGTTAACGCAGAAGCAAATACTTCTAACATGTCAACGTTTCAATCTCTTGTAGTCCAGACTTAAATTGAAGGATCACGGTAGACCTTTAGTTCCAAAATGTCCCCACAAAATATCGAGAGGGTCGAAATCAGGGGACATAGCTGGCCAAGGAAGTGGCCCTCCTCTCCCAATCACAAAAATCCAACGAAATCAGGCGAAACACTATCATGTTGGGAATTTATTGCTCTTAAATTAATGTTCTCTAGCAAAGCAGGTAGACATGAGGTCCAATTAATGAATTGTTTATCAACAAGACCAAACGTATTTATTGAAAATTCATGTTGGGAATGGGCTTGTCTTACTGCTTGCTGATTTTTATATGCCCACACATGAGAATTTTTAGTATTAAATAATGTCCGGAAAATCGTCTTCCTGTGACTTGTAATCCATCAAGAAAATGCAAGCCTCGGTATTCGGTCACCCTCTTCCAACCGTTGTATCGCGGTTGTACCACCGCTAAGCCTGATGATAGAAAAACAAATGTATTGTTGTTCAGTCCAGAAGTTGTTTAAAAGTCAATTCAAAATTCATAAAAGTGAGTATGAAAATACATTGTACTGCATTTTTAACAGATTAAAATGAATGGTATGTTTCTTGGAAAGCAATATTTCACTTTAGGTACCTACCTACCTACCTACCTACTTCAAATGTGCCGAAGGAGTTATTCACATTTTTTCGTTCATCAATCCATGATATTTCAAGAATAAAACGCAGAGATCGAAAATACCAATGTGCCAGGGTGGGTGTCCTTTTTCAAAGAGACCTTAGATTAAAGTTCTCCAAGTCCGGGCCTGAAATTTGACTATATTTTGTACCTCAGAAAGTTGATTTCGATTAGTAGTCTAAGTCTATCAAATTTCAGGAAAATTGATAAACTATTGAAAAGATAAAAGGTGATTTAATTATGGCTAAGAATGTAACACGGCCCTGTATCTTGGTAATTACGTCGAATTGACCAATTTAAATATAAATTTTTTTCACGGCTGACATGTAATATTTCTTCAAATGATGAGTTTTTTCTACTTTATGAATTCTATAATAGTATAGGTAGATTTCAGCAAGTGGCGATAGCACTCTGATGGCAATACATTTTCCGTCCTATCTTTTATATTATTCATTATTATTCGTCTAATCGTGATTAATAAATACCTTCATTATTATTATTATTGACGAAACCAAACTGAGTGAGAGGTCACAATATGTCCTCTCTCTCGCAAGGAACCGAGGGGATATTCAATACTCGCACCTGAATAGCTGCTAAGAGAAATCCAGTTGCAATCGAAACGCTCTGTTCGTTATAATAATGCAATTTCTTGTTCCCATTGTCCCTCAAGCTGTAAGTTTGCCTGAACACCAGGATAAGATACGGTGCGTCCGTCAAATATTCTTTCACCCAGTTGGTCCTCAGAGGCTTCAGGTCCGTCGTCCACACTTTTCCCATGCGCCTCGTATAGTTGATCTCCTCTTCTTCCTCGATGATCTCTCTGATGGTTTGTTTGGTCTGTGGAGAAGACACCAGCACGTAGGTCCATGGTTCTGTGTGAGCACCGCTTGGGGCTGTGCCTGAAAGTGAAGAGTCCATGGGATGTAAGTGTGCGTTTATTTTTTGAATTCAAGGATGGTTAGACAATTGACAGCCTCAGTAAACCAGATCTAATGCTTTCTCAGAGGACACTGCCCTATGAAGTACCACTTCAAAAAATGGGACTACGGAGTTTGACACCTGCCGTTTTTGCAACATTGTGCAACATATACTCCGGTCATCTAATATATTGGTCCGCATACAGGATGGATTACCTACAACAGACCTACTGACTTGGTGAATCAAACCATCAAGAATATCCTAGGCTTCTTCAGAAGTCTAGACTCAGAGGACTAAAATCAGATGAGGGTCGATCGATCGATTGATATTATTGATGGCTTATCCTGATGAGTTATTTATTGAACACAATAATTGACACGTGAGTTATAGACATCAGAATAGTCTATACTCAAAGTGGAGTATGATGATCAAAAAAGAAAACTCGAAGTCGCCTCCAGAAGTTACTCAAAGAGAAGTTCATGTTCTCAATGAGGGATTGGCTTTTTGCCTCCCCTTCAAGTTCACATTTATTAATTATGTATCAAGATAAAGTTTTCTCCTCCTTTTATCGCCTTCACGATGTTTTGAAAATTTTCCACGTGAGTACAACCTTCTTACCTTTGACTCGCCATCTTGTTATCATAATTTGTGTTTTAATGAAAATCTGACTTTTTCACTTTTTCACTTTTCACTTATCAATTACTAATCAATTAATATTGTAACACTTTATAATAATCACCATTGATCTTTTATACTTCTGAAATGTTAACTAATTCAATGTTGCATTTACAACTTTGTGAATTTCCATCTTCATTTTCTTCATGGTATGTTAAAATTGAGCTTCGGTTTTCTATTGTAGATACACTTTGATGTACCAATTTGACTAAAGATGACTTGTGGAAACGACTTCGAGTTTTCTTCCTTTATAAAATATAATATGAATTATTGATATACTCACCTGCTGTTTTTATGATGTTATGGATTATTTCAAGTGGAACAGGTTGTTTGCTGAATTGTCGCACGGTTCTCCTTTTATTCATCATTTCGAAAAATTCTTCGGATTTTGCTATGGCTATTTCTTCTGGTATTTTTTCAAAATTGAATGGTATATGCTTCAAGTCGCTTGGAAGTGCAGGTATAATTCCATCTTCCTCAGAGGAGCTGTCTTTGTCCATATCTACATCGTTAACTGAAAATTATTTGAAATAAATCTTTGTGATATGTGATGACGATACTGTATAACCAAACTGTATAACTGAAGCTGAACTATAGACCGATAAAATTATTTGTATGCCAATATGGGCAGCAAAAAAACATTCTTCAGAATAAATAATCAACAATCAAAGATGTCTCAGAATCTCGGAACCGGTATTTGCAAGTACTCCTTATTAGTTTGAAAGGCACTTCACTTCGTTTCTCTACATGTAAATGTATGGAATCACGCCAGGTAGCCTTACGAGGGGAGAGTATCAACTTCGGCGTTCGTAATGCATATCTAAAAAGGAGGGTCTCACCTTTGAGAATTCGATATAAATAGTGATATTATACCAGTTCTTTTCTAAATTATTCATGCACTAGCACTAGAAGAAAGCAACAGTCGTTATTTTAATGGAGCAATGCTCTCAAAAGAGTAAACCTATATGTATATTTTTTCATATGTTTATATCAAAATGATGAATATATGGCACGATTAGAGAAACATGATACTAATCTAGGTTTTTTTCAGGGTATTTCAGGAACATTGCAAATTATACATTGTGAGAGTTTCGTATAGCTCGAAAGTTAAGAGATTTTGGACATAATTATGTTCATATGAACTTTTATTCTCGAAATGAGCCTACGAACCATGTCCTTCATTTTTAGCCATCAATTAAATTATACCCTGTTTATAAAGAGAAAATGAATAAAAACTATTGAAAAGGAATATCCTCAGATAAATTATGAACATGGAAAGATGGACATATACATATAAAGAAATACATTGAGAATTCGCATTCTCTATATGTGATGAAAATATCAATTCTTTCCCGTTTTATTCAACAGAAAACAACTATACTCTCCTGGCTATATGCCACGGCGAACATTGTATTATATCTATTGAACACAAGCGATAAGAATTTGAAAACAATATCTTAAGAAGTTGAGAATGTGCATTCCCCTCCAAATAAAAATATGTATATGCACATATTATCATTCTGAATATTCAAGAAAAAACTACTACTTTCCTGGCCATTTGCCACGACGAACATTGAATTATATCTGTTGAACATCCAAAAGGAGAGCAAGAAGAATAAAAATTCTCTGAAATTGAGAATTGATATTCTCTCTCCAATCGGATGAATAATATAATGTATTATGATATAAAAATATAACTTACCAATATGTTCAGTATTGAAATGAAAATTGAAATGTATAGAAGTATACGTGTATGAACTCTGATCTTGATGAGCTTGAAACTTCCAAAGAAATAATCCGTTTCATTGATATGGAAATTATATCTCTCACAAACTGGATATATGCGACTATTCGAATAAACTCATTTCAGATATCAAACCCTCCTCAGTAAACTGAAGTCCAGTTATTCTTTCAGAATATCATTCCACGTCCTGTATGATGAATATGTATGTCATACATCCAAGAATAAATTTAGTTTTTGGGTGTATGATAAATTGACATTCATCATACAGGGCGTGGAAAGAAATTCTGAATTGAGACTCTATCACGAATCTGCGATTAGAGGTCTATAAAAATCACAAGTTTCCATCGTTCAAGTTTGAACCCCCAATAAATTTAGTATCTACATATCTTTACTTGCAGTTCACAATTGCATATTTCAATTAATATTTTCATTCTCGGTTGCCTGAGGAAGATTTATTGCCCAAGGAAGTTTCATTGCCCAAAAAAGGTTCATTGCCTGAAGAAGTGCATTGCCTAAGGCAGTATTCCCAAAAACTTATAATCTTCAAAAGTTCAGAGAAAAAATTCAATACCCACCCCCTCTCTCTATGCTCCCTGGGTACGCACGGCGCTCTTTGAGCATGATAGGGTTTTCCTTTCGTGCACTCCAAGCGATAAAAAAAGAATAATGGGAGAAAAATTCGAAAAACTTGACCGATATGAAATATACGACGCGTCTGGGAGTCCAGTTTCTAAGAAACATTTTTTTTCACGAAAAGTTGCCTTATTTACAGTTGCAACTGTGAAATTAGGTAAATGTTCGTGAAAAAAAAGTTTTCCCAGGATGGCAGTTTGGACAGGTTGTACACGATATTGTTCCTATATACCTTGATTCGTGCGGTTGAGCTTCCCAAAATCTTCGTTCTTCTTGTCCAGCCCCATATTCCTCTTTTGAAGCCCTTTGTAGAAAACGTAACTAACCCTCACTGTCACATACAAAAATAATCCAACCACAAAATAGGGCCAATATTCTTCGAATAACATCGTAGACCTCGAAGTTCACTGACTGTTGACTGATGTGGACACTCAGTTCGAAATGATATCCTCTGTTGGTATGCATCGAGTTTTGTGATCATGATGGCGATGACCTATATTCCAGCTGTATCGTTCAGCAGCTATATATAATTCAATTGATAATTGCAAATTTCATTTCCTTTCCTCAAAATGAAAAAAAGTTGTACTTGACGGTTTGGGAATATACAGGGTACCCTGAAATTACATGGAAATATTTCAACCACAAATTCTATAGGAACAAATATAGTGAAAAAGATTTATAGAAACATAGGTCCAGAAATGCCCCTTTAAGGTTCATAGCCAGTCATATAACCAAAATTTTGTACAAGTACCTAACTTTTTACGCCCAATTTGAAAACATTAAGAATTTTCCGAGCATAGCTTTTTGTTTATGCAATTTTTGGTAGTTTGACCAGGAAATATGTGAATTTTCACATTTTTACATGAAAATTTCTGTACAGTTTCGATAGTATTCACCTTTCTCGAGATAAATCGATTTTAAATTTTAGCTGCGTTTTTTTATCTCTAGGAGTACATCGTGCTTGGGAGGATAAGGAGAGAAGATAGGTATTGGATTATTTTTTGTGAGTTTTGATAAAGTGTTGTTCGACATATTTCGAGGTTGACAACGAAAGAATGTGCTGACTGGACTTGTCGAGTTCGTCTGACTGGTATTGCTAGTGATGAAATGATAGCAGAGAAAATATTTCAGGAATCGATACAGGAGGAAAATAAACGAAGGGGCACCTAGAATTAACAAAATGAAAACTTCTAATTTCTGAGTAATAACTCGAAATTTCGAAATTCCGACTTATATCTAGGAATTTTATACATCAGAATTTTATATCCAATATTCCGAGTCTCGGGTAGGGTAAGAAGAAAGTAATTGGAAAAATAGCGGTACATTTGAATTTACTGAACCCCATTGCTAGAATATTCGGACAATACACTCTATGATCATTCCTGAATAGCATTCAAAGAATATGATGGGATATCGATCAAAGTTTTGTCAAGCAACTTGACAAAATAGAAAATAAACGAAGCACTTCGATTAATTTTTGATGAAACATGCGAAAATTTTGATTCACCGCCAATGAGGATTCCTTTCAGCAATATTTTCAAATTATATTATTTCTCGTTTTCGAATGAAATACTTGGTGATTTTTTGGCATATAGCCGTGTTTTTAAAGGTTCTCCATGGATTACTCTAATGTCATCCATTCAGATTGAAATATAGTAAAATATTTGCCATTTGAATGTTTGGAGTTGGGGTGACTTTGCAGTAAACAGCTCGATTGCATTTTTGAATTCGACAGTACAGCCTTCAAGACATTCGGGTTGATTACATTTTGTTACCATTTTTGCAGTGAGCTGGGACACCCGGTATAGGACATAATTTTCTGTCAGAATATGGGCTAGTCAGAAGTAGGGTCGGTCCACCTAATGATAATAATTGATATTTTTCTAGGTTTCGACACAGGAATGTGCGTGGTAACTTTCAATCGATTGGCATATAAAACCAGAAAATAGTAACACATAAAATATTTAGAATAACAACGCAGTGTTGTACCTATGTGACATTATGGTCATTTTGATGCCTCAACTGATATGAAAATCGATATTGCCATCTCAATTCGAACATACATGATATATCTACATCACAGATTAACATAAGGTTTGTTAATCTGTGTCTACATGAACATGAGGCATTTTTATGAATGTTATTGTCACATAATGAAACACTTTTCAAAATGTAAGTAAATAGGATGATGTAGAAATCCATGGTACACTTTACTTAACTAGAAGTGAAGTAGAATATCTTAAATCGGTAAATCTAAATCATCTCCACATTAAGTATAGGTATGTGAATGGGGTTGTACACACTAGACTTATTAACGCTACATACTTTTTTTATATCGACCTCTCAATGAATAAATAAAATTTGATGCAATTATTTATTATTCAAAAATTATCAGAAATAATCTTTGTAATAACGGAATGTTCGAACGTGATTTTAACCAACTTCAAAACCTCGAATCGAATTGAAACTTCGCAATTTCCTCGACAAAAATGCTGAATGAGTTTCCGCCACCAGAATTTCAAAGTTCCGCCACCAAGATTTCGAATGTTCAGGGGTTATACCTCAGATAACACATGATGTCCAATAAACCAAAGATTCCAGTCTACGATAAATGTATGTATCTTTTTTATTGAAAATAAGGAGAGTTTGAATTCCTACTACTTCACTATATTCAGGTTTTCCGTTCTACTCGATCTCAAAACTGCACAATTGAATGAAAAACCTAATATTCTAATAACTTTGATAGACTTCCGGATATCAACAACAATGAGGCTAGGCTAGGTAAAGCAGGAAACCACACTGTTTCAAAGATATAATATCTTTGAATATCTACTTTATGTTATATATATGACTTTGATATTTCCATTGTTGGAAACATTTCTACCTACAAAAAGACCTTCTAATCTGAGGCTACTCTCTAGATCATAATTTTGAATTTTACATATGCCGTTCCAATTGTTTGCAATTTTATTTGATTTTCTAGATATTTGCATCGAAATCACACAGAAGCGTGTCATGAATGACCCTGTATTGTTTCGTATATTGTACAGGATAACTGGAATTCGAGCTTCATCATTTGGATCTCGTAAAACGTAACAGATACAGGGTCGGTTGAATAATAGCTGTTTTCGACAATTCTGAATACTTTCAGAGATATACGAAAAATAAAACAGGAATTTCCTAAAACCTCATTCATCAACTTATCAAATTATTTGAAGAATTTAGTCGAAATGAATGACACATTATCATGGCAATTTTTTTTCCGATAAGTTGAAATTTGTGCTAGCTCCTACCTTTTGGGATATCCAATGGTGTGAAAACATGAAACGAAGAAAAAGTGACCTTGATAAAGTGCCATTCATTTCGATTAATTCCCTCAACTAACTTGAAAGAAAATATGAAAATGGTTTTTGGAAATTTCGTATAGGTATATCTTCAGAAGTACCTATTTTCCAAGTTTCGACACGGTATTTTGTTTGGCCCTGTATCTCTTACGGTTTACGAGATCCCGAAAATCAGGCTGGAAATCCAGACACCCTGTACATATTATATAAATTATTTTTGTCACCTCCCTCAACATACCCACTTTCGGTATCGTAACTTATTAGTCATAGATAAAAAACTTGTTCGGGAATTTATCATTAAAAGAAGAACTCAACTGATTAGTCATTAGGGTGAATCAAGCAATATATCAGTCTCGTACCAGATTTCGTCGTGGACGGTTGATTGAAGTGGTTTAAAAAAGAACTATTATTTATAATAAGTGAGAAATTGAAATTCATCTTTCAGTTCAGTGATTATCCTATAATGCAATTGTGTGTGTGTGAGGTTATAATTGTGTGTGTTGTGATTTGTTACGAAATATTGAACTTTTTTTACCACTGGACGAACACGTTGTCGTTTTTTCAAGATGGTAAGTGTTTTTTTTATATGAATACTTAAGATATTTTCACGTGAGGGTTATTTGGATTAAATTTATTCGTACGTACAGGTAATTTCAGACTTAAATGTACAGGGTGATCAGTTAAGGGTAAAAGTGCACTTATCATGCGATGGGGTTTTTTCGAAAATTTTTTTGGTACTTACGTATTTTCGTCTGAAAAACACGAATTTCATAATGAAAATGTGAACAAACCATTATTTATTAAGATATTTCACTATAAAGTTACAAATCCCACCATCTTTTCCGCCTGTCTTCTGGATCACATTTAGAACAATTTGCCCTTCTTTTTCCATCATTGGACAATTTATATATATCACACAATGTTGGACACCTTTTTTTTATTATATGAGTCAACTAGAAATATGATTTTCTTGTGATTTATCCATGTTTAGTGAAAAGAAGGAAGAATATCATTTGAAATAATGGCGTGTGTAATGTCATTCCAAAGCAATCTATTGACATTTGAAAACTCGCCATAAAAATCATATTTCCTGTTGAATTTTCTATCTTAAAATGTGTCAGTGAAGTACATCATGAGTATAAAAAGTGTCCAATGACAAAGAGCAAGTACCTGTAAATGCATCCAACACAAGGGAGAAAAGAAGGCAAAATTTCGAACTTTTTCTTGAAATATCTCGATAAATAGTGGTTTGTTCACATTTTCATTATGAAATTCGTGTTTTTCAGACGAAAATACGTAAGTACCAAAAAAAATTAAAAAAAAAAACCCCATCGCATGATAAGTGCACTTTTACCCAGTTTATTTTTTCAATCGAAAACCGTTTGTCTAACGAAAAAAAGTCATGAGATTCTTTTTGTTAGCAACTAATAAGAGATTACAAAACTGATTTTTATTTTGATAAAAAACAGTGGCGTGCCATTTTTAAATGTAATAAAATTATATTTTAGTCAATATCAACGGTTCAAAAAAAGGTAGATGATAAATCATTTCCATTAAATTATAGAGAAATTTATCCTATTTTGAAGCATATGAAAATTCATATACCATTACATTTGTTTTTTTTTTTGAAATAAACTAAAAAAATTGCTAACATTTCAGTTAACGCCATCTAGCAAAAATTCAAAACCAAATAAGCGTTTCGTAGGGCAAATTATGCTCTTTCATATGAGCATAAGTTTGCTAAAATCGGTCGAAATGAACGGGAGAAATCTTGGTTTGTTTAAAAAACAATTGAACTTCCCCCACCGCTTTATTTTAATAGATAGAACAAATATATACTTTTATTGAACAAAATTCTATAAAAATCCCATTTTCCTACTTGGTGTTGGTTATTACGACCTCTAGCGAACGTTTGGCAAACTCGAAAATAATTTCCAGCAATTTCTCTTGGCGACTTTCATCATAATTTTTTTTCTCAAATCTATACGACCAATATCTTATGAGATATGGCCGCTCGCAACTCTCAACTGATCACCCTGTACATACGAAACCTGTAGATAGAGGACACTGATTTTTCCAAATCACCCCTTATTGATGTGTCAACCGTCTTTTAATAATGAGATACATGCAGAACGTTGCCACGATTTTGGCAAAATTTTTATCTAGTCATAATTTATGAACCAATTTGTATAATCTATTCATACTTGGTAGATATATTCCACTTATATTA